TAGAGGCGTAATGTCTCTTTTACTATGGCTTGGAGATAGGTGAGGTTTGGAATGTCGGATTCGTTGACCGGTCTTTGCTTGCCTACCTGTTTGTCTAGCTCTTGGTAGGCTTTTAGCAGGACGTCGCTGTTGTTGAGGAGTAAGGAAATTGCCCACGTAAGTGTCACTGTTGTTGTGTCTGTTCCCCCGGCGATTAGGTTCTGAAATGTAAAAGACAAAAATTAATCCACACGCGATCAGTGCCATCCATTCGATTCCGGAGCTCAGTGTTATAGAAACAAAAAATGGGATAATGGTTGGCGTATCAGACTCGTATATCATACTTCAAGTGATTTAGCAGTTGGATGTATTTTATTGTATTACGATGAACAAGAGTGTTTGATTATAATTTTGTACTACATTGATATTCGGGATTGAGTTTAGAGAATTTGATTCTAAGATTTATCCATTAGAGGTTATGCTATATCATTCTTCGAAATCGATTTCGTTTATTATGTACATAGGATTAATATCTCACTAAAAATATATGGAGTATCTTATACTCAATGATTATAACAGTCTCTATATATGTAAAAATGAAAACTTTTTGAGCTTGTATTATAAAACATAAATTTTCGTGTTATATAGGTTAAATTGACTCATTAGATGTCGAATTACTAAATTTACACTTATTCATTCCAAAATTGACTCATTAGAAGATGTAAAATTGTATTTAACTGGAGTTAAATATACATACTTAAGTTGAAGACCTAAAATTATTAAAATATTGAAGTGAATGGACTTTACTGATAGTCTAGTCAGATTAAATTAAATATATTATTATTCACGTAATGAAAATTAAATAACACACTTGAAGTTTAAGAATTAGAAAATCAAAATATTGAAATGGATGAACTAATTAAACTATCATTTTGTTTAAATGAATATAGAGAATTCAAAACAAATATGTCCTTTATAACCAGCATTCTTACCAAACAAGCTGACTTGTTAATGACATCAGGATCATGCCCTTCAAACTTCGCACCATCCAGCACGGCCAGCATCACGCCCATGAAGTCCTGCTCCCCTTCCCCGTCGTCACCGGCGGCGCCTCTTTTCCTCCGGTGCTCCTCCAACCATCCATCAAGAAACCCATCCAGCTCTTCAGCAATCCTCTTCATCGCCTTCTCGTGCCCTCCCACGTCCATCCAACCCAAAAACGGCAGCGCGTCTCTCATCACAAACATACCCAAGTAGTGGAACAACCCCCTTATCGCCTCGCTGCACCGCCGCGCCTCCTCCTCCTCCTCCTCCTCAACCCCGCCGCCACCCCTACCGAACAGCCTCTTCCCGACAACCATCCTCATGATCACGTTCAGCGTCATGTCCCCAAACAACCTCTTCAGCTCGATCTCAACCGCCCCGTCCTCTCCCTTTTTCGGTGGCGAAACCAGAAATCTAAACGAGAAAGACTAAAAGGTTTACGTTTGATGGATTTAAACCATGGTCATTAGGAAGGGGATAGAGTCATAAATGCAGTCGAAATCGTGATTCTACAAAGATGCGTTTAGTGACCTAATAACCTAAAAACGTAAGTTTTTAATCTTTAAAGTGTAGATTTTGAATGCAAATTGTAAGTAAAATGTGTGATTCTACGTAGAAACATTTTGGTGATCTATAAGGGTCAAAACGTAAGTTTTTAAGTTTTGTAAAGTGATTTTGACGACATTGGTCATACTAACTAGTCTATTTTTCAATTTTGGTATAACTTGTACATGTAAATTTACCTACTTTTGAAAGTTGAGAGGAGCTATAGTCCCTTCTGTAGACAACTTGACTCTGCCACTGTTCTTCTCCTTCCAAAGCCCGTTGATCTCGTTGACTAGACGTGCTACTTCGGACGCTCGAACATCTCTCAACAACTCGATTTTGCGATGAGAGAGGAGCTCAAGTATGACGAGTTTCCTCATCTCCCGCCAGTAGCCACCGTGCGGGGCGAACCCGAACATGACCATGTCGTAGCCGAGCAGCCTGGTGGCGGTGAGGTTCGGGCGCGTGGAGATGATCAAGTCGTGGTCTGAGTATAGCTCCTTGGCGAGTTCCCACGAGCTGACGACCACGGCTCGGTGGATCCCGAGCTGGATCGTGAAGATTGGGCCGTGTTCGTCTGCCAGGGCCCCGAGGGTTACGTGGGGGAGACTGTTGTGGGCCGTGAACAGCCCGAGGTGGCCGATTATGGGCCGCCGGCCCCCCGCCATGGGAGGTGGAGGAGGAAGCTTGGTGGTTCGTCGATGTGAGTGATAGAGGGCGAGGGCGAGGGCGAGGATGGCGAAGGCTAAAGCTGCGATTGTGTTGAGAGATGGAGCGAGGTCCATGTCGACTTCGTCAGTGTTATGAGTGGTAGTGAGATTCTAGTTCTGAAGTGGGTTTAGGGGTTCATGAGTTATTTCACTATGATTGTGTGAGGATATATATATATATATATATATATACTAAAAATCAAGGATTGAAATACTATATTGGAGGTTGTACCGGAAAGTTAGTGATAGGGTATTTTATGCTAAAATCGTGGTTCAAGTTCAACCACTTCATTACTGCTAAATACTGCCTACTGATTTAGTCTCCAATAGAAAGTTTTTCTTGTCGAATCGCCGGTATGATTCGGTATTTCAATCCTTGCTAAAAATTCAGTTATAATACAATATATTAACCACTACAAGTTTAGTTAAAAGATAAGATAAGGAAGTTTAGGAATTCTAACTGGAGCTTAAGGCACCAAGAATCATGATATTGATAGAGCAGTTTGAATGAGGGTTAAAATGAAATAATTTGGTTAAACATTATTATTTGACAACATTAAATGAGAATGTATCAATTAGAATGATGCAATTTACTATCACCTCTTACCTTACCATTACGCACACAAACAGAATTTTAATTTGAGCCTACTTTCGCGCATCTCTATTATTAAATTGGCAGAAAATGAGCAAATAATTTAAAATTATGTGTTTTTATGAAACAATTATGAAATAAAACAATTGAGTGAAATTACCTCATTTCAAAAATTAAATTCAAGAGAATATTTGCAGCCGCCCGCACTAAGTTAAGCATGTGGTCAAAAGAGGCAATCCTGTCTTCTCGGTCTCATTATCATCGTTCTCCAGGGCTCAAGATAGGGTGCATAATCATGGGTTATTCACTCATCAGTAACCAAATCTGGATCCTTTATTTAGAAAATTTAGACCTAAGAAAGAAGAATTAAAGATCATTTTTATTTTTTCTAGCTTTCTTAATTGACTCGTATCTTTTTCGTTTTAACTCGGATTTTAATTTTTTTTCACAGATGGAACGAATTCATCGTGCTCTACAAAATGAGATCAATTTTCAATATTTTTTTAGAAAAAAAATTCTGGCCTCTAGGTACCAACTGCATACCATATGGTATCTTCTTCATTTTTAATTCGTTTTTGAAAAAGTTTGCACAAAAGGGACGAGTTCATCATAATCTATTGGATCTACAAATTTATGGGTGAACAAATTACAGGACCAAACAATACCACACAATACCATACAATACCACCCTGGTACGGGGTGGTATTGTATGGTATCTTCTTCGTTTTTAATTCGTTTTTGAAAACGTTTGCACAGAAGGGACGAGTTCATCATGATCTATTGGATCTACAAATTTCTGAGTGAACAAATTTCAGTACCAAAAAATACCATACAATACCACCCTGGTACGGGGTGGTATTGTGTGGTATACAATGTTAAAAGTCGTAAATGACAATTAATATACTTATACTATCATGTATTCAACCATCCTACAGTCTTGGTTTGTTCATACCACCATGGTATGTTTTTCAAACCATAGGTATGCTTTTATTTCAATACCAGTCAATACCATATGGTATAGACTGGTAAAAAATGGCTCAATTTTTTTTTGTTCAAAAAATATATTAAAGTGGATATCATTTTGAAGAGCACAATTAATCTGATTTGACTGTGCAAAAAAAATTAAATTTCGACTTCAAATGAATGAGAAATCGTCCGTCAAAGATTAAAGAGGGGAAAATTAAAGGTTTTCCAGGAGATAGAGGATGCTGATGTCATGCTGATGTAGACGGGTTACTCATGGTTACTCACCATAAGATTACTGACCTGATCCATTCCCGTTCTCCCGCCCTAAATTAACCTAAGCAATAACTGTTATGCAAGTGGATTCTGTGAGACCAACTAATACAACTTTTGTTTACACTAACAATTGTACATGTAGAAAATTGGTCCACTTGACTTAATTACTTAGTTAAAGAGACCCACACGTTTGAAATTTGTATAACAATCAATCAACTTTACATAGACTTTGGTTTACCTATCTGTTGTTGCAATTTTACCTTATCGTCAACCAACTCATTTGTCCAACATGCCGAATTGATATTTGCAACCTTTTGATTTGGTGGAAGATTCGTTTAAGACTCATTTTCCAAAGATATTGAATGTAGTGGATAGTGTTATGAGTTATCATTATCTTTACTTCAGTCAAAACTTATTTGAGACCATTTGGTGGGAAGAAAAGAAATACACCCCTCCTCACATTTAAAATTCAGGACATAGAACAAGTTTTTCGTAACACTTATATTGCAATACTATTAATTAAGAATGTCGTTAAATATATATATAATGAGGTAAAAATTGCATGGTTGGTCACTTGAATTATTAAAAACGTTCATATTTAGTCACTACAAATATTTAATTCCATTAATGGTCACTAGAATTAATTTGATAGTTCATGTTTTGTCACTCTCCGTTACCTTCCGTTAGCCTCCATTAACACCATTAATTCTTTTGCTAACGTGACTAACAGAAGTGCCGAGTCACCCAACTTTAACAAAAAAAAAATATATAATTAGACCTTACCCGCCACATTAGAAACCGGCCACGTCAGCCAATTAACTGACTCCAACCCAACTCTGCCCCGACCGGTCGCCAGTTATTTACCCCTTTACCCCTTCCTCTTCCCCCTTTTTTCCCTTCCCCCTTTTTTCCTTCTTCGATCGGCTTTCCCGTGGCTATCATCATCACATTAGCCACAATCCCAATCAAGAGAAGCGGTGCATTCCACATTAGCCTCAATATACTTTTCAATTCAAACAAAATAGAGCATCCAAACCGAAGCAAATTTCAGCTACCCAACACCAATTACACGAACGAACAGAGCGTCCAAACCAAAAATGGATTAAAACACAGGGAAACCGAGACAAATTTATAAGAAGCGGTACTGTCGCTGCCTCCAACTCTTCCTTTGCTGATAGGGTCGCCGCCTCAATCCTCCCCATCTTCCCCGTTCTTGGGCCGTGAACCAGTTGCGGCAACGCTGTTGGAAACCGGACCAGGCCCGCCGTCGTCCAACATCATCTGGATCTCTTGAGCATGGCGATCGATGACAGGAATTGGGGAGTAGAATCCACGAGGGAAGAATCGGGAGTCGAGTAGACCACGATTGGGATTCGTTTGAGTGATCTTCTTCTATCGATTCACCAGCGGTGGTGGTGGATCTTGCGGTAGAGTTGGACGCCTACGAGTGAAGTTCATCATCTTCCTAAGGTCTTCTTCTCCAATTGGAAAATCGGCAGTGAAGGCGAGCTCGGGGAGGGATTTGGACTTGGAGCAGGCCGATGTTGTACTGGATGGAGTCGAGGATGGTCAGTGACCTCGTGGCAGGCGGCGGTGAGGGCGAGCTCGGAGAGGGATTTGGGTTTGGAGGAGGCGACGATGTTAGACTTGAAAGAGGAGTTGGCGGCGGTGAGTGCAAGCTCGGAGAGGTATTTCAGTATTTGTGCTTGAGATTCTTCTGATGAGCTTTTAGGGGATTTTTTTTGTCCGATCTCGGGGTTTAGCTGACTGTAGGGGTCGGGTGAGTATCTTTTTTTATAGTTTAAGTTGGCTGAATTAGTACTTCTGTTAGCCACGTCAATAAAAAATTAACGGTGTTAACGGAGGCTGACGGAAGGTAACGGATAGTGACAAACATGAACCATCAAACTAATTCTAGTGACAACTAACGGAATTAAATATTTGTAGTGATCAAACATGAATGTTTTTAGTAATCCGAGTGACCAACCGTGCAATTTACCCTATATAATGACAATCCTTTCTATGAATTGTAAATTAAGTAATTTGCCAACCCCAAATAAATTAACTACAAATATATATATATATATCACATTTGTTCAATTAGACGCGATTTTTTGTTTTTTTGCTTTCGAAAATCCAGTTCTTTCTCGCAAACCTTCATCCAAACAGGATATGATGCGTGAATGTGAAAAAATTATGAAGCTATTCACTGCAACGTAACTGTATTGCAGTTCAATTGAGTTCATGACATGTAGCATGGCTGAGGAGCAACTACCCAAAGCTAACGGGTAACTCTTTTTCTCGCATAATTTGTGTGTTTTGCACACCAATTCAATTAGGTATATAAATAATAACGTAATCACAATAATCATAATTGTGTAGCACACGTACATTTGTAGAACGAGGCGTATAACACTTATAAAGAGATACTCTTATTTAATATTCTGACTCCACCACTACACACATCAATATGCCATTGCCGGCTACTAACAAAAACTTGGTAACCAATCGAGAAAATCAAGATATATCATTCCAAGTACCAAACGATGGGAACGAGTTGTTTTATTCTCGACGATACTCGTAACTTAAATTGCAACGATCCAATTCATGGTGGCTAAAAGTACAAAATACTAGGCATAAACATCACGAGACAACCGCGGCGAAGCCACAACCTTAAGCGGCGCCACCATCATATTCGTCATCCCAAAGCTCTCTGCCATATCCACCGCCTCACCCCCCACCGTCTTAAAATCAAACGCGTGAAGAAAACTCGCCAACGACAAATGCACCATCTGAAGGCCCAGATTCATGCCCGGACACGCCCGCCTCCCGCTGCCGAACGGGAAAAGCTCGAAATGGTGTCCCTTCACGTCTATCTCCGACGTCAGAAACCTCTCCGGATCGAACCGCGTCGGGTCCGGCCACACGGCCGGGTCGTTCTGGATCCGCCACGCGTTCACCATCAGCCACGTGCCCTTCCGGACCTCGTACCCGCCCACGTGGCAGTCGGTGATGAATTCACGCGCGGCGAGGAGGGGCGCCGCCGGGTACATCCTCATGGCTTCTTTGACAACGGCTTGGAGGTAGACCAACTTGCCGATGTCGGCCTCCGTCACGGATCTGTCACGGGGAACGACGTCGTTGAGTTCGGTCTGGGCCTTGAGGAGCACGTCGCGGTTGTTGAGGAGGAGAGCCATGGCCCATACTACGGAGACGTTTGTCGTATCTGTTCCTCCTGAAATCATGCTCTGTATTTTTTTCCCCCACTCGCACATCAATGTTAGAGCTCCATTTAGGCTAAATTTTTCCAAGAATTTTTCCATTCCTAAAAACATAAATATTCATTTCATGAATCGTTTGCGACTTTTAGATGCTCCAAATTCTATAATTTATTGGATTTGGGTTTCCTAGCCAAACCATATAGTTTTCTTCAATTTCATTTAACAAGCAATATATTTTTATTCGAAATATATCGACTCCTATTGTAAATCATAATGAATCGGTTCTATATGTAAAACTTAAACCCGAACAAAAATAAATTAAATACAAGTCAATTGAAAAATAAAAAATCTTTTAGTATCAACTCTTAGATCTTATCCTCTTAAAATGAAGTGCAGATCTATCATGCAGCCTATCCTGGATCGTATGATGTCTATCATCCAAATCTCAAATCCTTGGAAAGATATTAATCAAATTCGAAGAGAGAAAATTTATTAATTTACCAGTGACATGGCTTTGATGATGGTATCGGAGTCATATCCGTGGAGAGATTGTCCGTCGAGAAGGGAGAGCAGAACGTCAATGAAATCAAGCTCTGTTTTTTTCTCTCCCCTGTTTTCCTTGTGTTCATCCAGCCACTGCTGAAGGTACCCATCCATTTCCCTCGCTACCATTTTCATCTTCTTCTCATGCCCGCCGATATCCATCCACCGGAGAAACGGCAGCGCATCTCCCACAACAAACGTCCCGCCGTACTTGAAAAGCTCTCTGACACAGTTCTTAAACCCCACGAAAGAAACAGAGTCAGAAACAGAGGAGCTCTTCCCCGCAACCAATTTCAACATCAAATTGAGGCTCAAATCCCCAATCCACTTCTTCAAATCAATTTCTGGGTCGCGCCCAATTTGATTGTACAGTTCGTTAATCGATTTCTGGACTTCGGATTCTCTGAAGTGTCGGAGAAGCTCCAATCGGCGGGCGGAGAGGAGCTCCAGGACTGAGATTTTCCTCGTTTCCCGCCAGTAATCGCCGTGCGGGCCCATCCCGAAGACGGCGTAATCGTAGGAGAATACCTTCGTGGCGGTGATTGCGGGGCGGGAGAGCGCCACCGTGTCTTTGGTGGTGAAGAGCTCCTTGGCGATTTCAGGGCTGCTGACGATCAGGACGCGGTTGATTCCGAGGCGGAGGGTGAAAACGGGGCCGTATTTGTCGGCCAACGCGGCGAGTGCTCTGTGGGGGAGCTCCCGGCCTGCCATTACTGGGAGGTGGCCGATGATCGGCCATGGGTTGGCTGGTTCGGGTGGGAATCGGGTTTGCTTGTCGGATCGGCGGCGCCGGCGGCGACTGTCGGCGAGGATGTAGAAGGAGAGGCAGAGGAAGGAGATGGCCAGAGTAATAATGGGGAGTGAATCCATGTGGAGAAATAGGGAGATGGTTCTTTGGAGCGAAAACGGTTGGTCTTGAGGGTTTTGGCCTTTGGGAAAGGGTGCGGATAGTATAACAACACCCTTAGTGTTGTTATACTAACAACATGATTCATTAAGGGTATAAGGGTAAATTTATCTAAAATTTAATAAAATAAAAATTAAATTATATTTAGCCTATCCATCATGTCCCATTCACACTCTCGTTGGATCTCAGTTCTTCTTCTCCCCTGCTAGCTTTCCCTAAAAAATCGAAACCCTCATCGGTGTTTCAACTCCGTCGTCACTCAAATCGCGGCCTGAGTGTATTGAATTCGTCCGAAATTGTGCAGCAGGAAATTGAGATTGAAGAGGCTGGTTAGGGTTCCGGCGATAAGCCTGAAGATGGCGGACATTCCTCTCGACGACTACTCGTGGCGGAAGAACGGGCAGAAGCCAATCAAAGGCTCCCCGCATCCACGGTAAGTTCGATTTCCTCATCTGCTCCATCGTTGACCGGGATTGGGCGAGGTTTGTTGAATCAATTGTGGCAAAAACTACAGGGGTTATTAGTTATTACAAGTGCAGCAGCGTGCGGGGATGCCCGGCCCGGAAGCACGTGGAGAGAACGTTGGATGACCCGTCGATGCTGGTGGTAACCTACGAAGGAGATCACAATCACAACACGCTGTCCATTGCTGAGACGGCTAATCTCATCTTAGAATCCTCGTGAATTTGATTAGCTTCTGTTTTAACCTTCTTTTTTTTTAATGTGGGGGTGGGAAGGAACGAATTAGATAGCAAAACTGTAATTGGGGGTTGGGTCGAGGAAGAAGATGCAAGATGATGAACAAATTCAATCGCCTGCGAGACCCGGTCTGCCTGTGTGTATTGGACTCTGCTGGGCTGCAGCAGTTGGAAAAAGAGCTTGCTGATTTGGAGTCAAAAGCAATTGATAGATCCTTTTGGGATGATGAGCAGAAGCAAATCATTAGTCTCATGTCATGTACACTTCTTTTCTGTTGTCTGATGAACTGCAGAGCTCATTTAACTTCTAATCGATGTTTGTTGAAAATCCATCTTGTGATAAAATTTTGCTGATGAAACGTATCTAGTGCCTGGAATTGACACACCTTATGCGGCAGTAGAAGAAATTTAGTTGCCTTGTTTCTCCATAGACAGCGGCGTGGAGTACACATTCGGATAAAAGCTACAATGTTGGTGTAAGATGAAATATAATTGGGATGTCGAGTGCTTCAAATTTATTATGGTATGCATTTAGGAGTTATTGGTATGCAGAATATGAGCATTTCAATACCAGAAATCTCATAATGCAACTATAAATACAGTAAAACAAACCACAAAAAGCATACCATGAACCTACTAATGCAAAACACAAGTCTCCTAAAACATACCAAAAATCCCACAAAGCATACCACAAATATTTTTAATGGATACCAGAAACCTCATAATACAAACCACAAACACGATAAAGCAAACCACAAAAACAAACCAGAAACGTCCTAATGCAGACCAAAAATCTATTAAAACAAACCAGATACCTCACAAAGCAAACCACAGAATTTTCAAAAACACACCAGAAACTTGATAACGCAAACCACAAACACGTTAAAGCAAACCAAAAAAACAAACCAAAAATGTCCTAATGCAGACCAAAAATCTACTAAAACAAACCAGAAATCCCGCAAAGCAAACCACAGAATTTTAAAAAACACACCAGAAACCTCCTAATGCAAACCACAAACACGATAAAGCAAATCACAAAAACAAACCAGAAACGTCCTAATGCAGACCAAAAATCTATTAAAACAAAACAGAAACCCCGCAAGGCAAACCACAAAATTTTTGAAAGCAAACCAGAAACTTCTCAATGCAAACCTCAAACACGATAAAGCAAACCAGAAACTTCTTAATGCAAACCACAAACACGATAAAGCAAACCACAAAAAGCATACGAAAATATGAGAAACCAAACCATAAATCTCACAATGTAGACCATACATCCGGTGGTCGTTGACCGTTGACCGGTCAACGAAGTTCGTTGACCGAACTCCGGTGACCGTCAGTGAGCAGATTCCGACGCCGATAGGCATATTCCGGCCCCGGTGACTAGATTCCGACGCCGGTAAGCATATTCCGACGCCGGTAAGCATATTCCGGCGACAAAAAAGCATATTCCGGTGACCGGTGACCATTTTCCGGCGACCGGTGGCAGAATTCCGGCGACCAAATTTTTGGGCAGAAAATAAAAAAACTTTATTTTTTAATTTTTTTAATTTTTATTATTTAAACATATTTTTCATAATGACAATTATACCCCTGTTTTGATTTTACACTAGGTCAACTCAACTAATAAAAAGTCATCACATCCCTAGCTTCCTATTGGTTGGGGACTAGTGTTGTTACAATAACAACACAATGAGTGTTGTTACAATAACCGGTCCCTTTGGGAAAGGTTACCACATGGACATGGAGTTGGTTATGGTATGGGTGAGCATCATGTTATAAACTAAGAAGTTGAATTATATTATTCTCTAATATGTTTGCTTAAATGAAAATCAATCCATGAATTTAAAATTTAAATAGTCTTATAAGAGTATCTCTAAATAAATGTTAAATAAATGTTAATATTGGAGGTTATGGAAATTTAAATATATGACCATTTGATCAAACGAAATCTGCTACCATGTAATAAACCAACTACTCCCAATAATTTCAAGTTATTCAGTAGATTTAACACACATCACAATCAATAAGTTGACCAAATCATCCAATCCAACCTACCCAACCCAACCATTAAATTCAAAAGTTACAAAGTATTTGAATGGGTGACGCCGGTCTAATTAATATAACCCGAAAATACTCTCGGTTGGGTGGAGAATTGGGTAGTGATGACATTGGGACGGGCGAGTACCTCAATATCTATTCCCACTTTAAGTGGCGGAGTCAGAAATTCAAATGAGAGGGCTGATTTGAATTTTTGTAAGAACTCTTTGGCGTTACACTATGATCCTTGGTTCCGATTTACACAATACACTTGTTGATCTCCAAGTGACTCCCTGTCACTGATCAGAATCCCCTTCAAGGTTCCACTCTCTGCGAAACCTTGACCCTCAAGCTATCTCCCTGACAACTTCCCCTATTCTTTTTCAATTACAAGAACTCTCTGTATCTTAATTGAAAATACTGTGAAAAGGTGTCTCTGCTCTCCTTGTTCTCCTCCTTTTATCTCTGTTCCTTGTCGACCGTTATTGTGGTAAATGTAGTAACCCATTCTCTTGATTTGCAGAATTGATTGTCAATCTCGACTTCCTTTTCTTGCTCCTTGCTGTTTATTCTTCTTTCCTTATTCTTATGACGCCATTGATCAAGCTTCTCCCAACAACGGGTATGGGACGGATTGACCCATTCTTAAATGTTATTTGAAAAAAGAATGTCGATATTTATAATTGAATCTGAAACATTGAAAGATAGAGTCTTAAAAATTCTTTGGGATGAAAATATAAATTTAGAAAGATCAAATGAGAAAAAATACATATAAATACGGATACAAATCATGATCTAACTAGTCGAGAACGAAAAGAATCGAAACCAAACAGATCAGAATTAGCAACACACATGTCTCACCCTACACTACTAGTACTACGAATCAAATAATATTGCTCCAAATAGAGACCGTCATCGAGGCTGATCGAATCCGCGGATCAAATCAGAATTTGTATCACTAATTTTGGGTCGGAAAACCCAAAACAATCCAACCCGACCTACTCTTACACCAAACTAGTAACAACCTACCGCATTTTTTAGCATGCAAGTGGACTGCATCGGGATTTGTGTCATGTTGATAGATGGACGAATAATTTCCATTTGCCAGGTCACTGTATCTCCCCTCAATCTTGTCTTGTTGAGAGATGATCAGATCAGATCAGATCGACGAATGGTTTCCACTTACCTTTTATAGCTTATTTTCATATGAAACAAACAACAGATCGAATATCTGCTTAACATTATGTCATGTATGCTGTTGGTGTCTGCAATTATTTTTCATATGAAGTTTGTGTGGTGACTGGTGAGGAATGAAACAAGAAAATAGGCATGGGTAGAATATATGCTTAATATTATGTCATGTTTGCTGTTGGTGTCTGCAATTGTTAGTAATATTTGTATTATAAGCTGGTGTATTGTTTAAATAGATGTTTTTATAATATTATGATGTTTGTTGATTGTGTTCTTACATTTTAGTTTAGGAATGCAATTGGTAAAATTACCTTTTGAAAGTAAAGATATAGATGTAAATTTAACAAAGCTCACACTCTGTCTCTTATATTGCTTTGCCCATTTTGGAAAAAAAAAAAAGAAGAAAAAACCCTTCGAAGGATTACAAAAGAGGAAGCAAGAAACTTTGTTCCCCTTTGTTCATACATGCATTTCGATCAAGGGAGATAAACCATCCCATTACCGTTTCATAATCTAGAAGACTACTTGGTTATGGTCCCTCTTCGTGGAGTCTGATTGATCAGCTCCAAAATATGAAGCATGCAACATTTGGAAATGCAGAATAGTGAGTAAGTTTTATTTATCAACCTGTGATTTAGATTTATTGCCTACTCCGTGAACTTTTATTATCTAGCAGTAAGAGTTGAGTGATTGTGATTCTAAACAATAGACGGAAGAAAGCAGTTGTTTACCACTAAAAAAATCACTCAATACCACATTGATTATTTTCAAGGAGTGGTAATGATTTATAAGGCCAACTTAACCATGTTAATTAAATTGGTGTAAGTTGGGCCTAAATAATGGTATTTTGGGCTTCATACCATGTCAAGCGTTGACACCCTTCAACATCAACTACCCAAGTGTTGAGACCCATAGCACAATAGCAAAGAGAGCCAAAATTTGGCTAAGTGTTGAGACCCATAGCACAAGGGGGGTCGGACATGACATCATCCCAGGGGGGTCATGCATGACACCGTCCAAGGGGGTCAAGCACTAGGGTGTCAAGCATGATGTTGAAGTGAAAATTGGCTAAGTATGGAGATCCACCCGTTCAAGGGGGGTCATGCATGACCTCGTCCAATGGAGTCTCGTCCAGGGGGCAACCGTCCAAGGGGGGTCATGCATGACCTCATCCAATGGAGTCTCGTCCAGGGGGTCCCGTCCAAGGGGATCTCGTCAAGGGAGTCAAGCATGACACCGTGCAAGGGGGGTCAAGCATGATACCATCCAAGGGGGCTTGGTAGCACCCTAACGGGGTACCAAGCCGGCAAGGTGTAATTTACCAACTTGATGAGGCTACAAAAACTAAGTATGGATACCAAGCTACCAGGGCTGGCTTGGTAGCAAGGGGTATCAAGTTGATTACATGGGCTTGGTGGCATGCTAGAAGGTATCAAGCCGATGAGACGCCTTGGTAACAACCAACAAGTTAATGAGAAGGACTTGGTGTCATGAGGTGGTAGCAGATTCAGGAGCGGGGAGTCATCAAGTAGTCGAGGGTGAGATCAAGACTTCATCATGGTTCATGGAGGCTGAGGCAAGAGCCTCAACCCCATCCAGTCATGACAAGGCGACAAGGATCAACAACAACACGACCCGACATCGAGGCCATCAAGTACCCACCAGCCCAAGAGGGGACAAGGGCCCCCAAGGTGACGGTTACCAACTAGTCACCAAGGCGGCGACAAGGACCCCGAGGTGGTTTGGAGCAGCAAGCCAGCTAGCGGTTACAAAGGCAGTTACCAAGGAAGTTACACTCGATGTCTATAAATAGGAGAAACTAAAATTGTAAAAGGGTTCCACAACCAACCATTTGACGCACAATGTCAAAATTTATCTTTTCTCTGCAAATCAGATTTTAGTCTTTCGGAGCTCTCACTGAACCTCCATAGGAGTAGAGTAACTTAGATTGTTCCCAAAAACCATTAAAAACATCAAACACCCTCGTTCGAACATTGTTCGGAGAGGAGTGAACCGTGTTATTAATCGTTGTTCAAGAAGTCAAGGTGCATTTATTGAGTTCAAACACCAGTTTTTCCTCGCCGAAAAACAAATTGGCACACCTGGTGGGACAATTGTGTTTGATTTGATGGCTCCACGACTGAGAGAACATGAAGGTGATATTTCACCAGGAGTTGTGAAGGAGTTGGCGGCCAAGTTCAATTTTGGCCATGCATCAGTAAGTGTTGTCGGAAACAATGGCATGATTGAGATATTGCCACCGGCGGCATCTTGTGCCGATGTAACCACCACTGCCATGTCACTCCGCTCAATAGTGGATGATAACTGCAAGATGGTGGTGGAGAACCGTCAAGTGATGGTGGAGATTCGTCGATTGATGGAAGAGAGTTTGAATGGACTTGTTAGAAGTTCACAACAGACTAGTCTAAAACTTGCTTCTTTTAGTTCTATGTTAGATAGACGTTTGGATGAATTGCTTGAAGCAACTACAGAAAATACAAATTGCTTAGATAAGCCTAAAAATTATTTTATAGAACCAGTGGTGCGAGAAATTTTTTTACCAAAAAATGGTATAGATCCGCCACCAAGTATTCTTACTGAGTATACAAGTATCCTGTTCTCCGGTGGCCGGACTACTCAGCCACGGTCAGGGAATTCATCGTCTCCGATGGAAATTCAACTACCTATTCAACATGGTGGTTGTGGCGAGAATATCGCTCCCACGTTCACCACTCATGTAAAGCAACCACCTATGCCGACAGTTACTCATAAAACTATCTCAGAGGCTAGACCATGCTTGAACGTGAGAGTTGGTGGAGGGTTAATGGCTGATGTGCTACCACAAGCTTGCCCAACCTCGATGCCATCTGTGCTCGAGCGGCCTGGTGGATGCAAATCGCCAGAGGGGCATGCAGAGGGTCATGGAATTCTACCTAACAAGGTGAAGTGTCAGGCTGGGGGACACGTTGATGTCAAGAAAGGTGAACAAAATGGTGTGTCCAACAGAACACCATATTTGTTTCCTAAGGATGGCGTGGGGGGCATATCTCCATCTCTATGCAGTGGGAAGGGGGGCAGGTCATCAGACATGAAGGATGGAGTGAGTGGCAAGTCTAAGTGGGTGTTGCCTACCCATGCCATCTATAATTTTCATAACTTTGACTACGTGTCAAAGAGTGCACAAGGAGGCAAGGCCCCTTGTAGCATGCCACCCATGAAGGGTCGACAAGGGGGCATATCATCAACCACAAACAATAGATAAATACACATGCCCAAGAAGCCACAACAAACCCAAGTCACACATGCTTGTAGTAAGAATGGTAGTGAAGTTGAGTTTGGCAAAGGGGGCACATCAAAAACCATGAACAAGGCTATGGGGGGCATGTCTCCAACCAGTGGAAAAGGGGGCATGTCACCGACAGTGAAGAAACTAGTGGAGAACAAGTCTAGGAGTGTTCATCACACCCAACCCACTCAAAAAATTTCTAAGTATGAGATGGCGTTAAGGGATGGACGAGGAAGCAAGTCCATGCCTAAAGCCCCCCATTGCATGCTAAACATGAATGGCAAACAAGAAGGTATGAATAAGACATCTCGACACACACCAACCAATCATGGACTTATAAAGAATCAAGGGTTGTTATGTGTTAAGTGTAAAAACCATGAAGACATGGATTTTAGAAAGAGTCAAGTTGGCCACAAGGGTGGTCGTCAACTCTTGGCCCCTTTGATGAGTCGAAGGAGTTGAAAATGTCTAGTGCACCACCCAGGACGAGGCAAACACATTGGGTTCAACATCAACCCAACATGTCTAGTAAGTTGGCCAAGGCAGTGGATCATGGGACCCCTTGCAAGCCCACTGAGACAGAGCAAGTTGAGAGGGTGCCATCCATTATTATGTTGGAAAATTTGAAACCAACACCAAATGAGTTGTTTCCCCTAATGGAGGGAAGACAAGTAGTGTATAGATGGTTGGTCTGGTTTAACCCATGGACTTGGCAGTGGGTGTACACCTTTGGCACATTGGTGGTTGTCAAAGGTGGTAGTGGGAAGTGATGTTTGACACTGTGTTTTATTAATAAAATAAAATAAAATATTAGTAAAAAAGAAAAAAGGAAAATCATAAGCCAATAATGGCTAAAAAAAATATGAGGTCGAAGTGTCAAGTTTTAGTTAGATTTGTGATGTGAGAACCTGGTCATAACTGATAAGCCACACTCATGTGGTGGCTGGATTCATGCCATTTACATGGCATGAGCAGGTGATTCGCTGTCGGTGTACCCATTATTGTCCAGGCCACCCGTCCAAGGAGGCCTTCTTGTCGTAAGAGGATGGGATGCTACATGATCGATTAATCAATGGTAAGTATCTCAAGCCTTACGTGCCTTCTCTTTGGGACGTGGGGTGTCAAAGGGTTTAATGTTAGTAGGCCACCATGGTGGCCGACATGCCAAGCCACCCGCACCCTAAGGCATGACATGATACCCTCATGATGAAGTCTGGCTTGAGTAGCTAGCCATGGCATGGAGGGTATAGTGAGATAAAGTATAACATTGATATGGGGGCAGTGAAGCCAAGTAGATTGGTATCACACTTCATCAATAATAAAAATAAAATTTGCTACTAAGGCAATGAGGAGTTAACTTGTCTTGGGGGGCAAGTAGATCGCAGTCCTACAAATGGTTGAATGAGAAAAGTATGGCTTTTTATCTTTTAATCGACTTTGATAAAGCCAAAGCTCAGCTGCAGGAGGGTTTGAGAGGTGAGCTTGATACGTACGAGGTGTGAAGCTAAGTGGTAAAGTTGATATAAACTACTTAGTCCATAATCTCTATGCACTAAGTAGTTGGGGGCATTTGTTTACCACTAAAAAAATCACTCAATACCACATTGATTATTTTCAAGGAGTGGTAATGATTTATAAGGCCAACTTAACCATGTTAATTAAATTGGTGTAAGTTGGGCCTAAATAATGGTATTTTGGGCTTCATACCATGTCAAGCGTTGACACCCTTCAACATCAACTACCCAAGTGGGCACCCCATCATACTTAGCCAAATTTTCAATCTATCAGTCGCCTACCTACCTTGCCGGTAATTACCCCTAGACATGATGGGGCGAAGAAAGCCAAAATTTGGCTAAGTGTTGAGACCCACAACACAACGGGGGTCATGCTTGACATCGTCCAAGGGGGTCTCGTACAAGGGGAGTCAAGCATGACATCATCCCGGGGGGGTCAAGCATGATGTCATGCAAAGGGGTCATCGCGCTAGACCGTGATGGGAAAGAAGGCGCAAATTGGCTAAGAGTTGAGACCCATAGCACAATAGCAAAGAGAGCCAAAATTTGGCTAAGTGTTGAGACCCATAGTACAAGGGGGGTCGGACATGACATCATCCCAGGGGGGTCAAGCACAAGGGGGGTCATGCATGACACCGTCCAAGGGGGTCAAGCACTAGGGTGTCAAGCATGATGTTGAAGTGAAAATTGGCTAAGTATGGAGAAGGGGGGTCATGCATGACCTCGTCCAATGGAGTCTCGTCCAAGGGGCAACCGTCCAAGGGGGGTCATGCATGACCTCATCCAATGGAGTCTCGTCCAGGGGGTCCCGTCCAAGGGGTTCTCGTCAAGGGAGTCAAGCATGACACCGTGCAAGGGGGGTCAAGCATGATACCATCCAAGGGGGCTTGGTAGCACCCTAACGGGGTACCAAGCCGGCAGGGTGTAATTTACCAACTTGATGAGGCTACAAAAACTAAGTATGGATACCAAGCTACCAGGGCTGGCTTGGTAGCAAGGGGTGTCAAGTTGATTACATGGGCTTGGTGGCATGCTAGAAGGTATCAAGCCGATGAGACGCCTTGGTAACAACCAACAAGTTAATGAGAAGGACTTGGTGTCATGAGGTGGTAGGAGACTCAGGAGCGGGGAGTCATCAAGTAGTCGAGGGTGAGATCAAGACTTCATCATGGTTCATGGAGGCTGAGGCAAGAGCCTCAACCCCATCCAGTCATGACAAGGCGACAAGGATCAACAACAACACGACCCGGCATCGAGGCCATCAAGTACCCACCAGCCCAAGACGGGACAAGGGCCCCCAAGGTGACGGTTACCAACTAGTCACCAAGGCGGCGACAAGGACCCCGAGGTGGTTTGGAGCAGCAAGCCAGCTAGCGGTTACAAAGGCAGTTACCAAGGAAGTTACACTCGATGTCTATAAATAGGAGAAACTAAAATTGTAAAAGGGTTCCACAACCAACCATTTGACGCACAATGTCAAAATTTATCTTTTCTCTGCAAATCAGCTTTTAGTCTTTCGGAGCTCTCACTGAACCTCTATAGGAGTAGAGTAACTTAGATTGTTCCCAAAAACCATCAAAAACATCAAACACCCTCGTTCGAACATTGTTCGGAGAGGAGTGAACCGTGTTATTAATCGTTGTTCAAGAAGTCAAGGTGCATTTATTGAGTTCAAACACTAGTTTTTCCTCGCCGAAAAACAGCAGTAAATTGTTCGGTTTACAGAAGAAGAGTCATTCGGGATGGATTCCCCCAAGCTCCTCGGTTAGGTTCAAGTTGTAATTCCCTTTGGTTGATTACTGTTGATTAGACTGCGAAAGATCCAAAAATAGTTTGGGATCTCTTAACCTGACCAAGCCCTCTTAGACAGAATACCCGGCAGGCGACTAGCCTTCACCGGAATAAATTGATAAGGCAATTCACACAGAAGTGCACTACTGGAATTGGATTCCAGTACAAAGTAGTGAATTGACTAACTCTCGTACTCAATTCACTCCTATCGGTTGAAGAAACTCTAACAACCTAATCAAATTCTATCTATCATATGTTGAAGAAGAAATCAAAAGAAGTTGAACTGGATTCAATTGACTCAATAAACACACTTCAATCGATTAAAAACCAATCACTATATCATCCCAAAAGTCATTACAAACAATATCCCTAACCCATGGAACTAAGGTTTCATACCCGCATGAAAGAAAGGTTTACTCCATAGAGAGAGAGGGGAGAACAAAAATAAGAGGAATCATACTCATAATGATGCATATGATAAGCTCTGGGATGTAAATATTCACTCCAAGGTCGAAATCCAAGCTTCAATGATGAATCTCAGCTCCAAAATCGATCCTAGTGTTTGTTCTTCGTCCTTTCTCTCTCTAAAACTATGTTTTTGCTCTGATAACTCGAATCCCCTCTCAAAGACTTGAAATTGGGTTAAAACCGAGCTCTGTCCGATTACACGGGCAGACCACACGGTAGTTTGAATCTCCAAACTGCCCTTGTGAATCCCGAAACGCGGCGTTGCACTTAGTTGCTCGTGGGGTAACACACGGCCAGGATGTACAGTCGCATAGAATCCGGCCTTGACCGTGTAGACCCCCTAGACATCCCGTACAGCCGAAGTGTTCCCTCACACGGCCCGTATGGCCCTGGCCACGTAAACTGTCTTGCACACCCAACTTGCACGGTCGCATAGAATTATGGCCAGGTCCCATAAACTCCTCAGCTTCTCGTCGAATGTCCCAACTTCGTCCAATCGACCCCTAACTCATGTCTAAACCTTCATTCACGTACTAGGACCTGAAATATCACTAACAAGAACAACCTAGCGTGAAATCGTCCTAAAATACGAGAGACGAGGCTCAAACAGTATTAGAATGGTGGACAAAACATGTCCAAATAGCTAGTCATCACCTAGTTTTTTTCATCTCTAAAAGAATAGTAGACAAGAGTATAGAGAAATACACATTTAGTCGTCCCAAAAAACTATGTGAACGAATTTTCCTATTTCCGGGGATGACTTTTGTCATTCCCAAACCTCCTCTTTTTTGTTGTGTTAATACTTTGCATAACCACTGAAAAGTCATATGTTCATTATTGTTCATATAGGACATTTGTTTTTGTAAATTGTAGACAACAACATATGAGCACTTGATTCATTAACCTCATACATTACATGGATGAAAACATGAAATGGAAGGGCTTTTTCAACCTACGATAATTACTAATTAGAGACTAAGGCAAAATAAAAACACCCAATTCATTAATCTCACACCATTGACATATATTTTTTTTAGCTGACTATTTCTAATGAAGGTAAGATAATTATATTAGTTGCATGTATTTATTTAAGAGTTAACAATATGTTATTTTTATATTTTGTTCGTTATATAAATTAAGGATTGATACATTAACGTGGGATTTTTCTCATGTGATAAATATTTTATGTTATATTGGTTAACCCATTTAGTCAATTTACCAAATTAATTAAATATTAAATTATTTAATATAATTGTTTTATTAATTTAACTAATTCAATTATGATATTGTATTTCATAATTAGTAAAATTTAGGCTTATTTAATTCGATAATACTATAATAACTATTATTGGTCGGGCTTCCTCTCAGTAGGGATGGACATGCGGTTCGGTAAAACCGAACGGAACCGAACAAAAACCGACTGAAACTGAATTTACCCTTATTAGGTTCGGAATTCGGAATGAAATAGATCATATTTCGGGAGACAACTTCTTTTGAACCGAACCGAAAAAACGATTGAAATTCCGAATTTTTAACCTAGATATGATCTTCCCAGAGCCCACTCCCACCCCCGGGCCCAATTTCCCAAACCAGCCCAATTTTTTAACCCTCAGCCCATTCTTTGATAGCCCAATGCTCGCCCACCCACAGATACTCTAGCCCACTGAAACCACAATACCACATCTTCTCCAAACCCTACCCTCACTTGTGTCCCGCCAACCCATCCTCTCCAACCTCACATAGCGGCCGCCACCGCTTCACAGTCCGCCATCAAATCGCCATCGTTCCGTCATCTTCTCCTTCACGCGGACACCACGACGGAAGAGGAGAGGAGATCGCCGACATGCAAAGTCCATCCACAGCTGATCCGACCGGGAGGCGGAGCAAAGAACGGTCAGTAGAGGCGGAGAGGGAAGTCGGAAATCGAGGTAGAGAGCGGAGCCGGAGAGGCAAGAGCCGGATAGAGGAATTGGTGGCTACTGTCTTATGCGGATTCTTCCGAGAGGAGGGAGATAGTGGCGGCGGTGGGAGACAGGCAGAGCGCTCAGTAGGGGCGGCGAGGAAGTCGGAGATCGAGAGATTGGTGACGGCCGTTTCTCGTAAATTCTTCTGAGAGAGCAATAGATAGAGAGGAGGGAGAGAGTAGCGGTAGAGAAGGGAGAGAGTGGTGGCGGAGAATGAGGGGGAAAAAAGAGGAGGCGAGTGAGGCGATGATATTTCGGTTAGCGCCTTGAAACCGGACCGAACCGAAATATAATTTGTTTCGACGAATTCGGTTGGAGGATATCTGCGTTCGGAACATCGGTACATGCCAGTTCGGTTCGGTTCAAACCGAACCGAGCGAACGCCCACCCCTACTTCTCAGTCTCATGGCTTCTCCAATCCAGTAGGCTCCCCCTACTCTCTCTCTCCCTCTTCCCAAATCGATTTGTTTTTTCGGGGTTATTATAAGTTTTCATGATTTCCTCTGGCGATTGGCGTTTTTCCTCCAAACGATTGGTGTCACATTAATATTCACCCCTAAAACAACCACCCTGTACCTTAGGCCACCTATTTCAATCTTACAACTAAAGGCGTACGTATCAGTATCACTAATAAAGGTCTCATTGTTAGCGTTTAACATATGAAGGAAAATTTGTTGTGGAAGTTAATACTCAATTTTTAATATTAATAAGAATGACAATGAGTTGAATTATTTGGTAATTTGATTCGATCATCATGATTTATTATTGAATCTCTCCTAACAACTTGAGTTATTGAGACGAACTTGTTCTTGTCGTGGTATAAGAGCTTTTTGTGACCGAGAGGTCTTTTGTTCGAAATATCGATTACCCCATATATTTTGGTAAACACATGGTATTGAGACATATGCAAACTTCAAGCTTATATGAATGACTTTCGTTTTATTGGGGTAGTATGTGGTATACGATCCATTATTGAACTTCTCTCAACAACTTGAATTATTGGGGACAACTGGTTCTTGACAATATAAAGGCAATATCAATCATATTGTTGTTAGAGTAGTCAGGTAAATTCGTTGAAAGAAGGGTCAGTTGTAGAACTATTTTTGACGTTCGTTTGGAATGTCACTTATGTAAGCATTTGGAGTGGCGCCTCTCTAACAAAAGTATATGTCAACTTTTGTATATGCTCATTAAACAGGATCAACACATTACCATCATAGTGCTATCCTTGTTGGTGGTTGTGGTTTAGAGAAGAGACGAGTATGTGTGTAGCATCTTTGGTTCTAGCTTTGAATCGTGACTCCTAGGCTTAAGCCCATCGTTGATTTGCTATGAACTTTGAGATGTTTACAATAGATAAATGTTCAAAATCGAAAAGATACATTTATGTATGTGTTAATTGTTTGAGACAGGTATTCTCAACTCTTGTTGACTAAGCGAGAGATTGTTAAAGTAGTCAAAAGTGTTAGTGAAAATACCACATTGGTGGGAGATAAAAAAAGTGCAAGTGGTTTTTAAATTTGCTTTCCACTTTACTTTGTTGATAAAGTAATAGGTGAGTTTAGGGAAAAGTGTGTGCAATTTAATTGTACATATTAAATCATTACGCACTTTGCACGTTTGTGACGTGTTTAGAATGGAGTTTATGACTATTTAATTAAAATTTGGGATTAATTTTATTAATTAATTTTGGATAATTAATTGCGTTTAAGTTTTGTGAAACAATGTATTCGTTAGAAGGGAACTGACGTTTTCTCACAATAAAAGAATCGTACGGCCAGAAGATTGGGTTCCAACGTTAATCTTCTTCTTCCGTTTTCCTTCTCAAAAACACAAACACAGAAGTCAGAAAGATTGTTGCTTTCGGACTTTAATTAAAGGGACTCCTTGGGGTGATTTGTCTAAATTCTATCAGCAATTTGTAGTGGGGCAAATAACACTCTAATAAGAGTGATTTCAGTCACGTCTTCAAATCTGTTTCTTCTCTATTGTTTCCCTGAAAATTACTCACTTCTTAAACCAATTCACACCTTCAATACTGGTGTCTCACCATTTCTATTTTTTCACAATAAATAAAATATAAAAACCGCATTAGAATCATACATAACGGATCTAATTCAAACCCAAACTAAAAAGTTCTATATAAATCTGTTCAAAAATATTATTATTCGAATCTGATTTGCCCAATATTGAAATTTGATTTATCCCCTAACAAATTGGATGGGGACAATATTCAAATTTTAACTCGTACTACATAGTGCTTGTAACACATACGCCAATTGTTTTACTATTGAAGGCTTCTTTCAGCTGGATTGTGTCTTGATTTTGGTTTGCTTTTTAATTGCAAACGAAGTGCATTAACAATAGGCAGAAAGCCAGAAATGTCTCATTTTGTAACAAATTAATTTAAGCTATCCAAAAGAAATAATTGTTAACCCCTGCCTGTTGAAAAGTCAGGGACTCCTGGAATAAATAATCAGCAATAAGCACCATATGTTAATTATTAAGCAAGTGGGAGATTATATTTATTTGTGACAGCTAGGTTTAGTAGGAGAGTGCATGTATTATTGTTTGCAGCAGACCCACTTCCCATGTAATACCAAAATTTTCATTTATTCACGGACTAATCGCCTGTTTGATTAAAGAAAAGGAATGGATTTATCTTGTTGTTTGGCTTGTTAGTTGTTAGTTCCTAGATAATAAAAGAGGGGGTGATCCGCGGTAGGTAAGGTGAATGAGTCAAAAGCAAGCCCAAAACACGAGGTTAGGACTTAGGATAGTATGCCAAATCCACAATTATTATATTAGTGGCCACTGATCAAACGTGACCCCTGACCACCCACAATTATTATATTAGTGGCCAGGAAATAAGATACACAAACCAAAGCCCCACCGTAAGGTATGCATTATTGTTTGTTAGTAGGATAAATAGTTTGAGTGGTTCGAGTTTAATGATTTTAATTGTCTGATTTATATACTATGGTTTCAAAAAATACTAAACTCAAATCCACAAAAAAGTTAGTATTTTATCGTTTGTTTATAATTGGATGGAGTAGGATGAACGATACTTTTAAGTGAAAATTCAACCCAACACAAAACATTAACTATTTTACACCACAAAAAATATAATTAATCAATTAAAAAGTTGGAAAATATCAAGTGCATAGATGTTATTTGAGTTCTAAAGAAATAAAATTTACTTCAACATATGTCTAGTTTTTTCCACAAACATTTGTCAAAAGAAGCTAAAAAGTTTATAAGCTAACACATGCAATACTTAAACTTTCCTTTCAATCACCCTCGACAATTGGCATGCAGCTGCGATATACGATGGTTAGTGATTAATCAATAACCAAATTGATAACGGTGGTTAGTAATTAATCAATAACCGAAAATTTTTTAGTAAGTTGATTTCGGTTAGCTATATTTTACTTAGTTATTAACCGATAACTTACTAATCAGTTAGTAATAATTAACCGATAACCTAGTATAACTACATAGTTTTGGGTTTTGGTTAAAAGAAAAGTTTCATGATATAAAACCGACCAAAATAGCAATTCCAAACATCCCAATTTACACCTGTTGCAAATTGCAATCAACCCTCCTCGAAAAGTCTCAAATATGTTTTTTTTATAATGATGATAATGCATTAAATAAAAAGGAAATAACCAAGAAGGTTTACAACAAGCAAAGGCAGACCAGCTTCACCAGGGGTGAAGAAAGCCGCACAAAAGTCAACAAAGACAAAGAAGAAACAAGAAAGAAAAAAAACCGAACCAAAAGGACCAGAGAGCAAAAAGCGAGGCACCGGCCTCTCTCGAACACTGGTGGAGCCACCACGAAGGACTGCCTACGCCAGAGACCCAACTGAATCAGATCCTCCAAAATTGCACACCAAGCCACTGTCTGCTGCAGATTTTTTCAACCTTATTGTGCGCAACAACCCAATCCAAAGCCGATTTGCAAGCCTTACGAGCTACCACCACAGCCCGAACATTAATGTTATTAAAGAACCGTTGATTGCGTTCAAGCCAGACTTGCCAGCAAACAGAATGAGGAGCGCAGGACAGGATCAAGGAGTCGATATTAGCGTGATCATTGACTAGCCACCTTTGAATTAATGGCATCAAAAATATCACCAATCGGCGGGAACACGAAATCACAGGCTCTTCGAACAGCATTCCAGACCTCACGAGCAAAAGTGCAGTCCACAAAGAGATAGTTCACAGATTCCTCGTCGTTTCTGCACAGTGCGCACCTATTAGCGAGGGTCAACCCTTTCTTTTTGAGGTTGTCCAAAGTCGGGAGCTTCTTGTGAGATACAGTCCAGAAGAAGAAGCAAACTTTCGTCGGAATCACCTATTTCCAAACAGAGGCAACAGGGTAGTTCTGCAATCTAGGAAAACGATCACCGGCCAAAGACCTGCATAAAGAAGAAACAGAAAAAGTAGACTCCGAATTTGGGAGCCACACAAGTCTGCACAGGCCGTAAGTCACTCTACTAGAAGCATGAGATGAAAGAAAATTTAAAATTTCAAGTCTTCCCCTCTCCGCCCCCCCCCCCCCACACACACACACACACACAAAGAAAAATTGAGCTCGAAGTGCCACCCACCCCCAGTACCTGAACCAGAGAAGATGTCTGAGATCCGAGCAGCAGGGTTGGACACAGCAGCAGAGACACGGGGGAAGGTCGAGGCAAGAGCAAGGTTGGGATTCCAAAAGTCGTGCCAAAAAGAAACATCATTCCCACTCCCGGGATCAATACAAGCATGGTTCTAGAACACATCGAACTCTTTCACAATATTTGCCCATACCGAACTTGAAAGTCTTCCCCGGGGGCACTCAGGCTGCCAGGATGATACATTATTCGGGTGTTTGATTGAAATTAGGTTCCGCCACCACCATTCTCTGTCGACAGCAAACCTCCAGTGCCATTTGGACATAATCGAGACCCCCATGATCCTGGGAAGTTTTGCAAACATCCCACTTGATCAGGGGAGCCTTGGCACCTTCACCTGTACCATTCCACATAAAACCTCTCTGCAACTTCTCAAATATGTTTAAAGAGTCATAATTTGAAAGCCACCCCTATCTGACTCCCCTTTGCAGTCGGTAGAGAGAACCTCGCACACTAGTAGTTTTTGTTTATTTGATGTTTGTGGATTATGATGATAATTTTGTTGTGATTGTGTTTGATGTCTTGCTAGTTGATATTAGCTAATTGGATAGGTGGCTTTTGTTTACTTGTAATTTTATGTGTTTGCATTATTAATTTACGGTGGACGTTGCATTCTATTGATGTTATTTCTTATAGTTATTATTTTATGTTAAATTGTTTTGAATTATTTATGATTATATTTGAGTATTCAACCATTGTTCACATTTTTTTGGTAGAAAATGGCACGTACAGGTTGTTATCAATTAATGATTAAGCGCCAAACTAACTACTAAATGAATCAATAAGGCGGTTAATAGATAATAAGCCTTATTATGTTATCGATATGCATTTGTTTTCGTGAGAGGTTAGACAGAGCGCTTTGCTCCCAGAGTTGGATGGATCTTTTCCCCGACACCTTAGTGAAACATTTCACTGACCAGGGGTCTGACCACCGGGCTTTGCTTCTGTCTGATAAACCTTATGTTCGA